TCCCGTTCCTGTTTGCGTTGTACATGGATAGAATAGTCGCAACCAGGGCGACGAGTGTATCAGCGCAGTGATGTCGAGATGAGAAGGTTGCTGTTTGCAGACGACCTTATTTTGTTGACGTCTTCCAAAACTGATTTACAGCGCTCTCTGAAAAGCTTCGCAGCAGAGTGTAACGAGACCGGCATGCGTGTGAACGTGTATAAAACACAGCCCAGTGCCTTCTCATTTTCGTGCCCTCTGCAGATAAACAGAGAAATTGTGCAGTGGAGGGAGAAGTTAATGTACCTCGGGCTAGTGTTTACCAGTGATGGGAAAGAGGATGAGACCGAGGAGCGGATTGCAATCGCCAGCGGCATTGTGCGTGAACTAGCCCGAACGGTTGTGAGTAAAACAGAGGTGCGCCTGAAGACTAAGCTCTCGGTGTTCAAGTCGATCTTTATCCCCATGCTTACCTACGGGCATGAGTCGATCATGAGTCGTGGACCATGACTGGAAAACTTCGAAACCAGGTACAAGCGGCTGAAATGGGCTTTCTTAGACGAGTCGCTGGGCTCACTCGTCAGAGCATGATGCAGAGTTCGGATAAAGAGTCCAAGAAAGCCTTCGTGTACAGCTACTGCTTCTTTAGACTTTGAAGTGACAACTTTGATGATTTGGACGCGCATTTTGAATGCTTTTAAAAGAGGCAAAACAGCTATTAACCCACCCTAGCAACTGAAGACCCCTTGGACGGCCAAGAATTGGTTGGACAAAGTGCAGCCAACGACTCTGCTCGAGACAGAGGTTATCTTTTGCCGAAGATGAAACGCTGGCACAGGATCGCTAACACTGGAGACAGTCTGACGTATGTACCTCCGCGACTTGAATGGACAAGCGGTCGCAGAAAGTGGATTGAAATGAGTTTCCAGTTTCATAGAAGCCGATGAGTCAGCATTGTTCAAATGGCGCTCTACCGCATTCTGTCGTAAAGCATAAGCGATCATCGAATTTGACTGACTATCTGGGACCTTGTCCTAAATTCAACAGCGATCGCGTACTTCACGAATCCGAACTAAACTACTTTAAACGAAAAATACCAATCTAGATATAACAATTGTTTAACAAACTTAGTTCAAGTTCAGTGTCAAGATCAGTTGAAGATATCATGCAAAACACACCAGTTGTTGTCAAAGACACTTGTTTCGTTAACGTCAGTGGCAGGTACCGAGTAGTCGCAAAAATGCTGGGACATGCTAAAGTAAAACTTCTGATTCAAACCCTTCTTACTGCAGAGCAAAAACAGCGCTGTGCAATACGTCAATACGTTACATGTTCGTATGAAAATCGCTGCAACATGACGTGCCCTAAATTTTATGGCGGTGCATCACGTTTAGTGAAACATGCTGTTCAGCTGGAAACCTCTGTTACGAAAGCTAACAACATCGCATCGATTGAAACTTTCCGTTCATATTTAACAACTACGCCCGGCACCACTCGGGTCAGTCACACATACCACAGCTTATGCTTATTAACAAGTTAAAAGAATTAAAAAATGTTAAATGTTAAAATTTCAACACATTCTGAGGACTCACGAACTGCAAGCCATCACATCAAGGGGTGTAATGTAACAACATCATTTTCACACTTCCTTTTGTAAAACTGCACTGTTTTGTATATCTTGCTGCCATCGCTATATTTCTACTATAAAACCACTGGAGGAAATGAACAACTTTTATTATCGTTGGGACACTTACAAATATAAGCCTGAGCCGGTGGACGCCAGAGAAAAACTACTTTTAATACACTGGGGCAGTTTGAACGGGAATTTTCGGCGTAACGTAGTTGAACTCTGAAAGATATGTCACAAAATCATTTATCCCTGCGAAACACTGATTTCGCCTCGAAAAACAATGGTATGCGTGAGAACAGCAAAACTGTGAGGATTACCATTGTATATCCTGACATGAATATGATGCACACTGTCAGCCGATCGGTAACTCAGCGAAAATATGTATCGCTTGTTTTGCGAATCTCTCAACAGAAACGAACCGGCCGGTCGTGGTTTCAACAAGTCTTCGGCCTGCTGCCAATTTATCGGTCCCCAGTACCACCCGTACTAAAAAAAGAAGATAAGTTAGCGAGATTAATATAAACAACATATATAATAACATAATATACAATAATAATAACTCGGTAATGTCACAATCAACAATGCTGAATCGCAGCCGTGACGTGTGATTGGGTTGTGTAATTCAAAGATTGTCGAAGCTATGTCAGCGAAAACTTCGGTTTCTGATAGAGTCATTTATACTGGACAGGCTCCAAAAGAGGCTGAATAAATGCGATCAACAGAAACTGCAACATGTCTCTGAACTACCAATTTTAGACAACAGAACGAAGAAGTAATCAAATACGTAATAAACTGCATCGGTCTTTACGCAGGATAAATTTGGCCATGGCGGAAACATAATCGCAGAGTCTGTGCCGATAAGTCTACCACAGCGCACCGTGAAGTCGCCAGATAACGAAAGAAATGGAGGTTCGTCAGTTATACCTGTCACAAGCTGTGGCACCGCACCATGTATCGCTATCGCAATGAGAAGAAGAACGATCAATAGAGATGTAGCTGAGTTCCCTGTGACGGAACGGCTAGGAAGTCTTGCAAACATCCCCACGAAACACCCTCGATCAATCGCCAAAAGCCACCGACTGAAACGGAGTAAAGAACTGGAAACTGGAAAGAGTGTTAATGAACATAAAAGCCATTCGAGCATATTTCATTGCTACAGAGACAGAGAGAAAAGGCTGGTTGCCTTCAAAGAATGCATGCTATTTGGAAGTAAATCTGCACAGAGACAATACTCACTGAAGAGAGACTAACAGAACACGTCAAGGAAATCTTCAGCCATAAATTTCTATCCAAATGCGAGATATTTGAAGCTTCACAGAAAAAGAGACAAAACACTATCCATAATCGTGACGACAACGATGATGCAAAGGAAGAGGCTAACCTCCACAAAGATAAACGAATTTGAAAGCCCGGGACTAGGAACAGTAACAAGAAATGAAGAAAGTGGAGACACGGTGGGGATTACTTAGGCAGTCACAATCATCTGAGACATTAAGTAGAAAGGAAAATTTGTAATTGCTGGAATATTGGACTTATCTGCACTTTCACGATGGAGCCATTTCTGGCGAACTTCTTATAGTGAAGCTAATGGTAATGCACTGATCTCCCATTCCGCGCTATCCGCTAGAAGTGCCGTTTTACTTTAAAGACAGAGTTGAAAGCAGCTATGCTGCAAGCATATTGTGCAGTATCCTGTTTCCCACACAATGATACTCACTTATCACTGAGAGAAGAAAGGTGAGTGACCCAGAAAAGGGCACGAAACCGGAACCACTCACTTCTGAGTTGGACGTTCACAGCCTAAGCAACCCGGTCTGAAGCAACATGTGATAAATTCCTTGCTCAGAAGGATTTGTGATTAAGACAAATGTTGCTTCTCCGTCTGTATCGAAGAAAGAACCATTACAGTTCGAAGAGGACCACTTAGGTACTGTGCCACCACGCAAAATGGACGATGAACTAATGGAAAGATTCGAAAGCGTCGTCACTGTCCTCAGAATAAAAAGAGAAAGAATGCCGTTCTACCGACATCCGCAGATTCCTATAGATACTTATAACTGCAGATCGATACACACTGTTTGAAGCGCTTCCGGTGTTATAGGCAATTATTATGAATCTTCTAGAAATATTTGAACACTAACGAGTGTATTTTAAAACTGTAAAACAAACATGAGTGAAAACTACGATATTTTAGTCACTTCGTGAGGAATCACAGCTACTGGGTTGAAAACAGTGAATTCCGCGGAGACAAGGTAAGAACCGGGAAAATGTCGCACGAATAATTTTACATAATGGACAGGGGCTAACATCACTCATCTCAGAAATATCGCACAAGAGCGTGAGAAGTGACGTGAAATTGCACATTATGCCGTTAACCTTCTGCACAAAGAATGATGCTGCATCACATATTACATTAAGATATGCAATTACTTTCTACCATTAACTCACTAACCGGCAGGTCAAGAGCCACAGCCAGTTTACAGAGTAACTAATTAAAAGAGTGAACAGTCTGAAAATGCAAAGTGAGTGACGCCTTCCTGTACCATCAAGATCGAGGTCGAAAAAAGCTATCCAGGTAGTAAGGACGAACAGTCTATTAATAAGCGGCTTACAAAAGAAGTATCATCCACTTTCAGTAAAAACAAAGCGTACCTTCCACAATTTTAACATCGTATCCGCGAAACTTTCTCTCATTTGATCCGCCTGTGGTTCCGCATCGGATTCAACTGAAAAACATAAGTAAATCTCAATCAAATTCATGCACAGACTGTGATAAAGCTACGTGCAAGTCTGATTACCTCACAACTCATATCGATCTGATATTCCTGCCAGTAATCTTTCGGACGTTGGTGGGAGAGGTGAGCAAACGCAAAATACCCGTTGAGGAGCGGAGCCTCAATGATTTGGACGAGTCGCGTCTGTCTTTAAACAATCTTCATGAAAGATACGTTTAACAATGGAGCGGGTTTCGAAAACAATAGCTGGAGCGAATGGGGCTTCTTTCATAAGTACAACCCGCATAATTATCAGTATCGCAGACTACTGCCTGCCTAAGACCTGTCCACCGACCTTCGCTGCTGTTGGCGTTATACGCTCGGCAAACTGATAGCAATGAGTGAAAATCGACAATTTCCTCGAATTCTCCGCACACGGTGCTAATGTGAATTTCGGTGTCGCCGTATGAGAAATGAGCACCACTCGAAAACAACTATCGTCCCTAAGATTTTCACGCTATATGTTTACCGAGATAACCCTCGGCAAGCTGGGAACTCAGGTGGTCGAGTGCATGAAATGATCGTGGGGTCTAATGCCATTTGAGAAAATTAATATTTTAGCATTACGTAATAAAACAGCGAGAAAGAATATGTGAACAGGAAGCAGGAAACTCTCCCCATGCTCTGCTCTCCATGCTAATCGCATAACTGCAGAGAGCGCACTCCGTGAACAGAGTAGTTAGTTTCGAAAGAACATTAGCGCCGCCAGTAGTTAGTCAAAAAATTTATCTCAAAAGGAGTAATCCATACACAAGTAGACGCAAGACCACTATACGAATTGATGCAAACTTTTCTCCTTCTTTGAAACGCTTCCCCATCCATTCTCTTAAGATATATGGCATTCTTTGTTTGTCCGGACGCAAAACTGCTTGACCAAAATTCCTGAACTCAGCAACAAATCCAACAGTTTAAAACTAAATCACCATTTTGTCACCTATTTAAATAGCTGATTAAAGGACGGCGAAACTAAAAATATCCACACCTTATTTTGCTTGGATTAACTGAACCGGCCGGTAATTGGCGACGAATCTCGTCGGCCAAAACACGCTGGCCATTCCTGGTTCTTCGTCCTCCAAACGTAACCTTCTCAGCTTCTGATTCAATCTTCCCA